CGTATTTCATGTTAATAAGTAGTAGGAGTAAAAATAGGTACAAAGGGTAAACTGAACATATCTAAAGAGGAAATCCAAGAGATTGATGTTACCATTTACGATAGACATCTGTCATGGAATAGTCATATTAGTTATGTAAATCAGTGCATCTGGATTGCAACATTTTGTTCCTAGGCGTACTTTGACAGTATCCATTATCATATAAAACGTGGATAAAACCACACAGGTGTGGGGAATCAACATAAGGTTAGACTATTAAGAAGCATATTGTTTTCACAGAAAATAGCAGTTCGTGCTTTTTTCATGTAGAGAGTGAATTACTCATACAGCTCCACTACTTTCATGTTTGATCTGTTTAATAAAGGTTTGCCTCATATTTTGATAGATTACTGTGATATTCTAGAGTATAGCTACTCCACAGGGCAAACAGAAGGTTAACAATTACGTCTGCCAAAATTTGAAACGACCCATGGTCGTTTTTTCATTATCTCTTGTGATTAGTTACTTGATTACCTTTAATGTCAGATTATGTTACAACACATTTGTTGAACAAATAATGAATCAAAACTCCATGCAAATGGTCTGTATGTGTACAAAAATTATATTTCGTATTTTGTAAGACATTATCAAAGTTAAATATTTTTGTATAGTATTGATTGCAATAGTACATTAATTTCTTTGTTTTTGTTTTGTTTTCTGAAAGTTACTTGTACAAAATACGTTGTTGAGCTGTGCATAAGGCGTTAGGGTCGACTAGCACATATGCTATTATCCGCCCAATTTACCAACCAATATTTTTTCTTCTTGTACATATAAATATGGTTGTATGAAATGAATAGTACTTGTTTGCTGTTCGTAAATAATGATAATAGTACATAATAATCAATCAAATACAAAAATCGAATGAAAAAAATAATAAACATTGACAGGATTGTAACCAGAAAAGTGATGTACATGAACATGGAAATGTATTAACATCAACTCAAATCACATCAAATTAAATGAATTCAAGATTTGAATTATCTAGAAGGAACCGCAGGTGTTAAATTGAACATTTTGTTTAAGATAATGAAAACAATGAGCTCCTGTTGCATGTTAAGCCAGCGATTTTATTGCCTTTCCTCGGGGGGGGGGGGTGCAACAGCCGGAAAATGCAACATTCAAGACGTATTGATAGCATTCTTTGCATTTAATTAAACTAACACAACTTGACAAATAGCGGGGAATAAAGGGGATTCCTTATAAAAACTGAACATTATTAACATTTGCGTGAGATCCTTCTCATTCAAACGTTTATTACAAAGGGGTTCGTCTTTTATGTTACCTTTATTCGACGTTTATTCTTCTTCATACTTATCAAACTGTTTATGTATACTTTATGTGCATATATATTTTTAATTGCATTGGATTAATTGAACTTTTATGTATATCATGATGATATTCGTAATAGATAGGTATGTCAGGCGCTCCTTTGTTATAAGTTCATTAATTTTGTGTGAAAGCAAAAAAGAAAGTCATGATTTTAAACGTTTGAAGTAAATCGGTCGAATAATAAAGCAGTTATGAATGTTTGAAAAAAAGGTATCTCTAAATCTATATGCGAATTTCAAATTGGCAATTGGGTCAGTGGATTGTGATGTATCCGTGGACAATTGTTTCGTTTGTTGTGTACAAAAATATCAGTATTTTCTGTTTTTCCTAGTGCCTTCTTCCATGGGGCACTCCTACATACAATGTATTATGGATAGCATATTTTATTATATATATTATATGGTATGTGTTTATATTTGTGTTTGAAATAAATTGAATCGAATTAAATTGAATATATTGTGAGAATCTCAGTTTGAATAGAAATGACATATTTGCACACCCAATGACGTTAGAATACCAGTCATTCAAAAAGGGCAATGACTGGAACGCGGTCCTATACAGAGTGAGTCAGAAAAAATGTCCCACTTTTTAAAAGTTGTAATGTTTGAAGTATGAATATTTAATCATGGGTTTCATGATATGTCTTGATAGAGTTGTCCTCCTAGTACATTTAGGTACCATTTTCATTTGAATCTCTGCATGCATGACTGAACATCAGACAATCTTTACAAGACTGCCGGATCTCACCTGCGCCAAGTTACTGGGTGAGGAATAAAACAGTGCATTAAATAAAGACAGTCAGACAGACACAGACACACACACACACGCAAAAACACACGCACACCGTGTCAATAATTTCCCCTTTTCTGATTAACCAATGATTTTTATCAAGATCGCTGTGGCATATAACCCTGACAATATTTCCCCATCATATCATCATCACCATCGTTGTCATCATCTTAATCGTCATTATCATCATCACTATCATCATCATCATCATCATCATCATCATCATCATGAAGCACAACATCCGCCAATACGCAACAAGAGAACAGCGGCCACTCAACTTTTCGTACGAGAAGAAGAATTCCGACAAAAAGTAACAGTTTGGGTGGGCCTTGTCGGGAATGGAACGATCATTTGTGTGTGTGTGTGTGTGTGTGCCTGTGCGTGTGCGTGTTTGTGCGTGTGTGGGTGTGTGTGTGTTTGTGGGTGCGCGTGTTTGTTTGTGTGTGTGTGTGTTTGTCCGTCTGGTAGTCTTTGTTTAAAACACTATTTTATACTTACCTAGCTACTTGGCGCAAGTGAGATCTGACAGTCTTGTAAAGAATGTCTGATGTTCAGTCATGCATGCAGAGATTCAAATACAAATGGTACCTAAATGTACTGGGAGGATAACTCTATCAAGACATATCATGAAATCCACGATAAAATATTCATACTTCAAACAATACAACTTTTAAAAAGTGGGCCATTTTTTCTGATTCACTCTGTAGAGCTCTCAATGTTTCATCAGTCAAGGGTTTCATACACAAATAAATGTTGGCAGAAAGAGAATAAATTGCTGAGATTATTACATGTATCATGCGTGTGTATTTGGCAACAAAGTGAATGCTAATCAGTATACGCTCTTAGAATTAAATTGCATGTAGGTAACTGCTGATTGTTTTTAGAGAATTACCCGATTCTTGGCAATTATTTTTAAAAAATTCAGCGCCACACGTTTTGACTATTCTAGGGGCAATTTACTAACAACAGATATATATTTCGTAACCATCAAGCAATACATGTTTGGGTGATAATCTGAAAACTTCAGACTTTCAGAATACTGAATTAGAGGTATGTTAAGGGTATTTCAACCCACAAATGAACCTTCAGCAACGACTTTCTCGGATCCAGTACTCCAGTTCGTTTATACAATTTGACATGGGAAGACCTAGGTTACTTTGTACACAATTTGAAATATATGTGACTGTTTGAGGTGATTTGAACCATGTGCTAATTACGAACTGGTCTACACATTATTCTACACAGACCGATTTAATTGTTGTTGTTTATGTGTGATCAATCCTCTCTAACCTTATATCCCAATCAAATAAATGAGACCAATACCAGACTACTCATCACGAAAAAATATCCTCATATTATAATTATCTCATTTCCCCTACCCGTATTATCCAAATCTCTTTTTAAATTCATGCAAAAACTCTTGCCTTTGTAGACCCTTTCATCTTACTGGAAAATATACATTTACAATGTATCATCATTTTTAAACCCTGTTAAATATCTTTCATTAGAATGTATCTCCCGACTTAATCTGAAATTAAAGAAAGATCCATCAAATCTAAATGTGTAAAGTATATGACTAGAATAACAACTTCGACCCAAATTAAACTCTATGTACCTTCGTTATCAGAATATTTATCCTTGCACTCAGAAAATATATGGGATCTTTCGTCTTTCTCCCTATTCCTTTTTTCATTTAAGAAAAGAAAAGTACAGGAAATGATAAATTGTTAAAATCCATCAATATAACAATAATATATTCTGAACACTTCGGAGGACAGTAACACAACAATAACAAATCATAACATTGTCTTATTAATAGAATACACAATAAAGGTGATATTAAAGTAGTTGAAGTCCACCGAAAAAGATCCTCGAAGAAATATAGAAGTGTAATACGTACTACGACAACTCAAATACAAAGACATCCACACCCAGACCAGATCAGGCAACCGATAACATTATCCACAGAGGCCAACAATAAGTCAGTTTGGACTCTTTGGAGTCGGTGCGAAGTCGGTGTGCCAGTGTGACTGGGGTATTAATCATATCTCCAAACCGACTTCAAATCGACCGATTCTCAGCGATTCGGGGCAATATAATGATGTGTCCGGTTGTCGGTCTGGCATCTTCTGTTAGTTGAACAAGCCGTGAATCTAAATTTCTCTATTTCATATTTAGAACTTATCTTGAAGAACGAGGATGTTAGTCCATCTTTTTTTACTAAACAAAATTCTGAGAATGTATTCAATATGAGAATTATGAAATTCATGAATTTTGAGCGAAGGGCTCGGGTATGAATTGCATAATTTACATGAAGAGAGACGAATAGTAAGCACGTTGTTAGCATCTTATAATGCCTAATTAATGATACTGACAAATTTGGTTTATATCCTACCAATTCTAGAGAAATGAAGCGAATACTCTACATCAACAGGTTACAGCATTTCACAATCTATAGAGTGTTAAAGAAAAGCGATGATAGAGACCATATTTTTTTCTCTTTCCCTCTCCCTTTCGTCTTTCTCTCTTTTTCATTTTTTCCCGCAAATCAGAAACCAGATATATTTCAGGCAATTGTATGGTATTGTTGTCATACACTGTTAAGTAATGTAGTCAGACTTCTGAAGCCAATAGAGATATGAATGCAAAGTCCAATTTATGAAATGTTTTCATATTGTCACGCTTGAATGCTCCTACAGAATAGACCAAATATCATCGCTACTAAAGGGTACGGGGTAATTTAAACAGTAGTTTAATGTCAAATGAAAAAAGCGACATGCTGTTTGGAGAGCGCGGTAATATATACGAGAAAAACGTTGTGGGTGTGAATTACGTTTAATATGGCGCTGTTTTCAGCAGCAGCAAAAGGAGACGTCCTGAAGATACAATCATTAATCGACTCAGAAGACAAGTTAGAGGATTCGAAAGGATTTGATGTAAACTGCTCGGATGCGTCCGGCAAGACGGCCCTTCACATTGCTTCGGAAAACGGACATTTGGAAACGGTTAAATGGCTTACCAATCTTGGAGCAAAAGTGAATGTGGTCGATGCTTACCTACAGACATCGGTTCACTTATGCTCAAAGAAAGGCCATGTTCATGTGGTGGAGCTGTTAGTGAACCAAGGAGCAGATATCGATGTTGGTGACAAAGATGGGTTTACAGCTCTTCACGTAGCATCATTCAAGGGTCATCTTGATATTGTCAAATACCTTGTTAACAAAGGGGCACAACTTGACAAATGTGACAAAAACGGCAGGACACCCCTGTCTTGTGCTTCCACAGAAGGCGATCTTGAAGTCGTCCAGTATATCGTGGACAAAGGAGCAAGCATTGAAATTGGTGATACAGAGGAAGTTAAAGCTCTTCACATAGCTTCACTCAAGGGTCATCTTGATATTGTCAAATATCTTGTAAGTAAAGGGGCAGACCTGGGGAGACTTGCTAGTAATTACTGGACACCTCTTCACTTTGCATTAGACGGTGGCCATATTGACATTGCAGAGTATCTTTTGACAGAAGGATCCAACATTAACACGTGTGGTAAAGGTGGATGTACAGCTCTACATACTGCATCACAAACTGGTAATATTGATGTAGTGAAATATCTAACCAGACGAGGAGCAGAGCTGGATAGGAGCACTGACGATGGTTGGACCGCACTTAGTTTGGCTTCATTTAGGGGACACCTCGACATTGTCAAAGTTCTCGTTAACGAAGGGGTAGAGGTTGACAAAGCACTCAGGAGTCGGATGACACCCTTGTGTCTTGCAACAGAAGGAGGCCATTTGGGTATTGTCGAGGTCTTGCTGAACGTAGGAGCAAATATTGATAACTGTAATCGAGATGGGTTTACAGCTCTTCACATAGCATCATTCGAGGGTCATTTTGATATTGTCAAATACCTTGTTAGCAAAGGGGCAGAGCTGGAGAGACTTGCTAATGATTACTGGACACCTCTACACCTTGCTTTAGACGGTGGCCATCTTGACATTGCAGAGTACCTTTTGACAGAAGGAGCCAGCATTAACACGTGTGGTACAGGTGGTTGTACAGCTCTACATACTGCTTCACAAACTGGTAATATTGATGGAGTGAAATATCTAACCAGTCAAGGAGCAGAGCTGGATAGGAGCACTGACGTTGGTTGGACCGCACTTAGTTTGGCTTCATTCGGGGGACACCTCGACATTGTCAAAGTTCTCGTTAACAAAGGGGTAGAGGTTGACAAAGCACTCAGGAGTGGGATGACACCCTTGTGTCTTGCAACAGAAGGAGGCCATTTGGGTATTGTCGAGGTCTTGCTGAACGTAGGAGCAAATATTGATAACTGTAATCGAGACGGGTTAACAGCACTCCACATTGCATCGTCCAATGGACGCGTTCGAATAGTTCACCATCTTGTTAATAAAGGGGCAGACCTGAGGAGACTTTCTAACGATAAATGGACACCTTCAGGGCTTGCTTTTAATGGCTGCCATCTGGATATCTATAAATATCTTTTGGATAGAGAAGCAGCAAGGATCGTTAAGCCATCCATTTGGTTTAAAGAGGACCACTTGAACTACCCTCGCAGTACTTCTGGTGGTAAGGCTTTCCCTAGCTATATGCCCCCAAACTCCCGAACGTGCGATCCATACCTTATCAGTCCACAAGACAGCTCTAGCTCCCCGAGGAAGAGTATCACAGAAGAGACAAAGATTATAAGTCTCGACGAGTACAGCATCAAGGTTTCACTTTCACCAGACGATGTGGACAAAGCCACATATATCACAGCAGAAGCGTTGACAACCATTCCACCTGACTTAAACCTGGAAAAAGACGAAGTTATCATCTCAGTTGGGCTCAAGCTATCCCCTCCTGGTCTTCAGTTTAAAACTCCGGTGGAAGTCACGATCTCGCATAGCGCTATTTTCACTAACCCAGACAAGGCAGACATTGTGCTATACACCCGAAGGACTGGTAAGATCTTTCTTTTACTATAGATCCCATAATTCCTTTACCTTCCGTTCCTATTTTTCCCTCTCTTCGTCTAATCTTCTTTAATTCGCTCTTAGGTATATTTGGAATTGAAGGCTTATCGATATACACAAGATAAGCTTATGCCCAAAGTTGTCCTCTTCTTTGTATCGAAATTGTTGAGATGTGGTGGTCTTGTGGATACGTCACCAGACTGCAGATCACAGAATTCTCGGTTAGCGGCACCTCTGGCAAGACATAAATCTCAGTTTGCCACTCTCCACGAATGTGTTAATATGGTTACCCGGCAAAGGTACGTTCCCATCATCATGCCATATTTTATTATGTTCATTACATCGTGATAGAACTTTGAACGCATCGAGACATGTACAGGTCAAGAATGTTGCATAGAGCTTGCGTAGTGCTGCATACAACTTGCATAGCTGCTGCACAAAAATAGCACAGCCGGGCGCGATGAAGAAACAAAATTGTTATTTTTCTTTTATTAGACTGAAGCAACTTTCAATGAAAAACTTTGCGCACAGTGCAGTCTCAGTAAAAGGTCCATATCTACCACTGATTATAGTCGGTAATCAAGCTTTGACCTGAACTTTCAAAGTATGAGAGGTATCGCGATGAAATGATTTAGTGTACATTTCTCATTGTGTTCAAACAAATTGGCGTTGACTGATTAAATTTAAGTGTATTCAATCAGTTAATGTTCTTTGGTCAAACAAGAGAAAAGCGGAAGGGAAAGGGCAAACAAATGTTGTGCTAGTGCAGAGAGCCCCTGACTGCCACGACAAACACATCAGAATTATGACAGAGATCTTCTCAAACAAATAATCCTTCCTATACTATCCTTGGTATCATAATGACCTCAATTCACTGAGTTTTAGTTGATTATCTTCTATTAGAATAGAAATTCGATTAAAATAAAAAATGTTTCAGTGTTTCTGTTTGAATTACTTATAAGTCGCACAGTTCTTACAGCCGCCATTTTCAAGATTCTTGTGGAAAGATCGAAGGGGATTATGAGAATGATTTAATGCATGAAAAAAAATTGATAGCCAATCACCAAAAAGCAATTGACATGTTTTTACGTCATTGATCATGAGCAAACAATGACCCTCCAACAAGGCTCCCCAGTAAACCCGCAAAACTTGCAGAAATATGACAGTATGAGTATGACAGTTGACGTAACAAAATTAACATGGTCCTTTATTTTTTGTTTTCTTGACAGAGTCTGATGAATTTTCAAGGATAATTCCTGCTTCTGACAAAGCTGCTCGGTGTGTAGTCGCAAAGAATTACCTTACTCTGTACTTAGACCATTTCTCGGAATGGTGGATTATCTCCTTAATCAAGAGATACTTCATCGGTAAACGGCTCATCTGTACGCCATACGTTCCCCTGTCAACATCCAGAGACGGCATGAACCCCATCTTGCTCGTCATTAAAGACGACTGCTACGGCATGAAAGGGGTAGTTCTGTAACGAAATAACAGTCCAGTTTATTTCTGGTCCATGTTATGTGTAATGATCTTTTTTTCCATCTCATTTCGTCACGAAACTTTCCAATCTTGCACATCTTATAGTCAATTTCGTATTTGGTCATTCATTTTCAGACTTTTTCCGATCGATTTCATCATTTTGCATCTAACTTCGTCAAAGTCAAATCAAGTTCATCATCCTTGGCTGCTGACGTACATTTTATTGCATGAAACAATTTTGTCAGTTTGCAACCAATTTCTTTAGAGCATCATTCAAATACCTTATCCTACCCCCGGACAATTGCCCCATAGGATATTTGTCCGGGAGGTAGTTGTCCTAGAGGATTGTTTTCGTAGGGGTTAGTTCTCTGTGGGTAGTTGTCCGGGGAGTAAATGTCCGAGGGTAGTTGTCCTAGGGGGTAGTTGTCATGCAGGTAGTTGTCCGGGGGTAGTTGACCAAGGGGGTAGTTGCCCTATGGGGTAGTTGTCTGGGGTAGTTGTCCGGGGGGTAGTCGTCTTAGAGGGTAGTTGCCCTAGGGGGTAGTTGTCCTAGGGATAGTTGTCCCAGGGGTAGTTGACTGGAGGCTGTTATCGAGGTGGTGGATGTCCACGGGGTAGGTGTCCCAGAACCCCTGGTAATTGCTGGCGGCTATTGCAATGCCCTCCGAAAGAACAGCATTAATTATCTCAAAGTTTACTTATCATAATCTCTTATTAGTCTTTCCCCCCAATTATTATCACTATTATTATTGTCACTATTATTTGTTCAATATTGATTCATATGTTCAATCTTTTGCAGGATATCATACAAGAGTACAAGGCAGCCTATCCTGGTGAGCAGTACTGTGTATATTGGAGACAAGGACCCCTACTTGTCAGACATCTGGAAAACGAAGACGAAGTGTCAACACAGGTAAGAATCTCAATATAATTGATACTTTTATTTCCCCCGAAGTAAATTATCCTGACAAACAAATTGTCCGTTTCTTATTAGGCAGGGCCTAATATATATACACTGTCGCTCATAAAGTTGGAATATTTTTGTTTTACCCATTTATACATTCTCAGATTTTATTGAATAATAATTTGCCTGTGTTTGTTTTGCGTGACTGCTAAAGCATGTGTACGCTAATATGCTTATGAACTAGGGGACCTACGCCCTTAAGTCACAAATGACAGTAATGAGGATTAATGCCCCATAAAAGGGCACTAATATGGCACAACAACACGGTTTTGATCCTGGGGCCTCACAGTTATGAGGCCATTGCTTTGTCACTAAACCATGACTGTACGCAGCGGTGGCTTGGTTAGGGGGCAGTTCCCAAAAATTAAAAAAAAAAAAAAAATCAATAATTAATTAAATTTTATCCCGGTCCCCAACAGAAAAAAATCCTCTGTGCGCCAATGCCTTGAGCCATAATGCATGGCCGTACAGAGCATTTTTGTAATGTTGAGTCGATTAATGTTTCATAAAAGTGCACTAATATAGTACATCGATACAATTTTGATCCTGGGGCCTCACAGCTACTAGGCTATTGCTTTGCCACTGAATCATGACTGTACGCAGCGGGGGCTAGGGTAGGGGGCAGCCCCCACAAATAAAAACAAAACAAAGAAAATGCAATAAATTATCAATAATTAGTTGCATTTCCCCCCGATCCCCAACAGGAAAACTCCTGTGTTACCATGCCTTGAACCATAATGCATGGCCGTGTACAGTAATTTTTCCTGTTGGGGACCGGGGAAATGCAATGAATCCACGATAATTTATTGCACTTTGGGGTGTTTTTTGTATGTGGACTGCCCCCTTTGTGTGGACTGCGTACAGTCATGATACAGTGGCAAAGCAATTGCCTCGTAACTGTAAGGCCCCCAGGATCAAAACCGTGTCGATCAGCTATACTAGTGCCCTTTTGTGAGGCATTTATCCTCATTATCGTCAGCTATGACTTAAGGACATGAGAATGTATACTGTTATCTAGATCTATTAGGAATAAATCATCGTCAAAATTATTCCACAAATTGGGTTAAAAAGTAATATTCCACCTTCATGAACACAGTGTCTTATTACGTGGTCTTGATGAGGTTACTTGGTTCTCGTTATAATATTATTTTAGGAAAAACGATTCAAACATGGGCCATAGGGGTTAGGCTCGACTAGCACATGTGCTATTATCTGGCCCCTTTTACCAACCAAAAGTTTCTCTTCTTGTATATGTAAATTATTGTATGAAATGTATTGCTGTTGGTAAATAAATCAAATCAATCAATTGAATTCATGGTATCACTGTTATATTAGAATGTACCATGGCACAATTCCTTTAACTTCGTAGGATGTTAATTGATGGTTATCTCTGATTTTCTTAGGAACTTGAAGTACGTGCTTTCTTTGACATGACGACCAATCGGATGCCGTTCGCTCTTCAGTCACGTGAACAAATAGTATCCGGAGTTCTCGTCACGCTCATCTTGAAGCAAACAATCACGAAGCGTATCGCCTTCAAAGTACTGTACAACGGTAATATCAAGGGCATGAATTCCTTTGGGGAGGGGGTGGCTTAAAGACCTACACTAGCAGAGAAAGTGTATTCTTGTGCAGTTCCAGGAATGATTATTTCCTGAGCTTCGGAGAGAAAAACATCAGATTTAACACAATCATAACATTCCACAAACATTATTTCTTTCTTTTTAGGCGTTTTAAATAAGTTGTGTAAGAAAGACGTTAATCACAGAATGTGGAGAAACAGGGTATGAAACACTGAAACGGATGGCTCAAGACCGAGAAACTTGGAGAGACACTTGATATAACATTTTGACTGGGTCACTGAACCTGTCATAAACTGACAGATCACTATTGATGATGAAGAAAGACGTGAGATTTTACGAATTCAAAAAACGCATTTTTATTTAAAAAAGCTCCTGAAAAAAAAAATATTTACCAGTTTTGTCGATCCTGGTATCATTTTTTCATGTGATATGATTCTACTACTGTTGGTACTAGTGAATTTGACCAATATCATTGGAACTATGCTAGTCCGTTTATTTAGGGCCACCCTCTATTATGTACATTATTTTGTACGTGCAATGCTATACAGTTCATTTGGTGTAGCAAAAGTACCATGGCAAGTCACTCCAATTTGGAATAATAATCATTTTAGGCTAATCGGTTCTCATCACGTTGATATCATGTATTCACAATTCAGATATGCCGCATGAAAATCCAATTGCCCAATCAACTACGACAGGAACTGCATCGTCCAAAGGCAAAGCTAAACCAACTGATGTTGTACGGGGAACATCTAAATGTAAGATTAGAAAAATAAGTATTAATACTATTGTTCCCCTTTCAATGGGATGTGCTTGTTACAAGTTAAAGTTAAACTTTAAGTGTAATTTCAAGTTCATTGATACAAATCCACAAGGAACAACAATACATTAGGACAAAATACATGCATCGGTACACAATACATACATTAGATCAGAATACACCTAATAAACCGGTACACGGGTGTAAGGAAATTAAAGTTAATTAAAGTTTAAAATAATTTAAAGTACATGAAACAATGTCCATATTTTGAGACAATTTGAACAACATCGACAAAATTACATTGTAAGGAGGCACACAGAAGCTTTTAATCTTGCGATTTACTCTAATGAGTGCAAGATGAAAAACTTGTTTGTATTTGTGCTATTCTGATTTGATTGATTATTGTATTTTCAGCATCTCAGCTCCCCGAAGAGCAGACAAGAAGCGAGCATCATCTTGAAACGATGGGTTCGCCATCACCTGAGCCTGCAGACACAAAGGGTAAGACTATGGCCCAAGGAGCGGTTCTAGAGGAATACATGTGTATGTTTATTTGTAGTTTTTTTTTTTTTTTTTTTTTTTTTTGGGGGGGGGGCAGGATGGGGAGGGGGGATAGCAGGGGGTGGGGTCTTCTATCATTCATGTTGTACATGTGCTTCTTATTTGGGGAAGAGAGAGGCATTAGAACCGCCACCGCGGTCAATATTCTTGAATTTAGTCTTTGTTTTAGATATTATTTAATGTTCAATCACTGTATTTTTATACCGTATAATTTTACTCTGTAAATTGAACTATTTCTTTTTTTTTGCTACATGTCCAATGATTTTATCTCAATCATTTTAAACACCCAAACTAATACAATATAATCCGAGGGTCGACTTGCGATATATAACGGATCAGTCAGAGTTCTTAACAACACAGGGCGAAGTCTGGTTTTAATCATGTTCTAAAAGCTTTTTTTACGTTTCTTTTCTCAGATGAAAGTATTTCAGATGAAAGTAGTCCTACTGAAGTCCGTACAAGGCCTAGGCCATTAACTCCATCATCGATAGAGTCACCGCCATGTGAACAAGCCTACCAAGTCACACATGACTTTGTAACAGAGACAGAGACAGTTGGTAAGGATCTGAAAGATAAAGTCGTGTTTAAGGCTCTGTAACAACACAAATGTCAATTGTACCTCCAAAAAATTAAGCTTATCTCCTCAATCAATCGTAACTTTAAGGTGACATTTGATGTTATGTTACAGATATTGACGAACGAAATCCTTTGGCAAAACATTATTGTTTATAATTAGGCTACACTCGATCCATGTGTAATAAGTGGGCAGGCTACCTTAAACGGTTGCTAGAATGTAACCGGGGTAATAATATCTAAAGCCCTTGAGAAGCGCATTATTGTGATATACGCTTATTTCCTTTACATGCTCTACGGAAATTTGAACGATGTAATTGATTAATACGTCATATCATCTTTTTGTTCGTTTTGATTTACGCTCCGACATCATCGACTGAGCCCGTCTATTCGGTAGAGTCTGCAGCAGAGGGGGCAATAGGAGTCTTAGCCCCACCAGCATGGTTTAATGTGGTTTCATCATTTTCTAAAACTTTTGTTTGTTTACGTTGCTTTATTTCAGACGGAAGTAGTCCTACTGAAGTCCTTATAAGACCTAGCCCTTTGATTTCACCAGCAGAGTC